CTAAACTCCATGCCACTTCAAACAATTGCTCTTGAAGAGTAAATCGATTCAGACTGTCATTTGTTTTGGTTACCGATTTGCAATACAGTTCCTTCTTGATATGTCTGTCGCCATGGCTCACGTACACTATTAATGTTCATCAGGACCTCACAACTCTGGCAATAACGTAATACGCCTGTGGATTCCCGACCGCAGGGGCATTGACGGCACCGCCCGAGCCTATTGGACAACGAAAGACGATCCGTCATGATCGACTATTGGTGCCCTGCCTTTAAGCCTTAACGCTATCGAGCCATTACTAGGATTGAACAGCATGAAGTAAGGCTGGCGGAGTAGCCCCAGCACACACGCAAGCACGCACGCACGCACACACACGCGCGCACGCACGCACGCGCACACACACACACACAGTTGCTTAACGTCAAACCTTCTCTAGTTTGGGTTTTATCCGACAGAGGGTGCCGACGCAAAGAAAATACATGAGCAGAGTTGCATGTCGATCACACATTCCTGACTGATAGAGCTCTTTCCATGCACAAAGGGTTCGTGTCAGGTGTACACACCGGACTGTCCACTCACTGTCGCATGTATCCTCGGTACGTGCCAGCAACGACGTCAGCAACACGTCCCACGATTGATTTCTGCCGTCGTGAGGTATTCATCCTTTCATTGCCGATTTTGCATGACGATGAGTGCGCGCGCCGCCTTGACCTCCGACCTTTTTGAGTAGAACAAGCCATCGACAAATGGAGGCACTGCTAACGTACGGCGCGACCGGTAATATCTTAGTTACGCACCGTATGTAGATGTACGCTGTGGTCTGAATTATCTGAAGATCGTCAAATTGAGTATATAAGGCAATGAGTCAACAAACAAATATTAATATATGACTCGGATTTATTTGTGGAATGATTTGAAAAACCTAACATTTGGTCCGCCCTACGACGACCACTAAGTTTGACCACTAAATTTGACCAGTGACCACTCAGTTACGCAGTCAGTTGACACGCGTGGGGTGCCGCGCTTCAAGAGAATGTCATCAGCCATTGGAAGGTCGCATGCGCTCCAGTCTTTACCAGGCCAGCGGGACGGTCGCCCATTTATTGCGATTTATCAAATCTATGTTGCGCATAAAACTGGGAGAGGCTGTGAAATGTGTATGAGGTCTCCAAACGGCGCAGCGGGTGTGAGAAACAACTAACACTGCTGTGACACTCCCACAAAACCAGACCAGATGAGAGAATGTTATATTGTGTAGCTTACCATAGCTCGCATTCATAAAGGGCGCATACGAATATCGACATATATCATAATTAGTGCATTCGGGTGACAAAGTGCGCAGCAACGTGCAGACTCCTCTTCGGACACCGCTTCCACGCCAAAACGATGGTTCGTTCTCCTCCCTTTCCCTCGGACGCCACTACCACACCAAAATGGCGGTTCGTTCTCCTCCCTCCCCCTGAGCTACAGCCGAAAACAGCTGGCTCGCAACAGCTCACTACCCGATTCTCTACTCCCGCGCGACACTTCACGCCCAGCCGACGAGCCAGCGTAGCATCCTCGGCGCGCCACTGACACTGCTTCACCTGCGCACGGCGCCGCCGGCTCCCCTGATCTGATGACGCCCCAGCGTCAGACCACGCTGGCTGCCCTGACGCCGAGCCATCCCTCCGAAAACGCCCACGGGCGTCCGTCGATCACGCGACAGCCGCGCGAGCAGAAGAGACTGATCACGTGACTCCCGGCTCCAGCGGCGTATCGGCTGACCGAACCTCTCAGGCGGTGCAGCAGATAACCGGCTGCCCCGGCACGCTAGCCGCGCGGACCGACCCACAGACCCTGAGAAGACGGACCCGCGGACAAAACCGAAGCGGTTACTACACTCGGCCACGCGTGAGCAAATCACTGGCAAAACCGCCACAACAAAACACGTACAATGGACTAGCAAAACCAGGTCCGGGCGCCACCCGCCCGCACGGCTGGCACCCCAGCCCCGCAGCTGAGGTTCGTGCACTGCATCCCTAAGGCGGCCGCGGCGCAAAGCTACCGATCGCAACTGAGCCTCGCCCGTTTGGCACAGCTGTGGCTGGATGCTGGTGCCATGCCAACACACGGCAGAGATAAGCTCAGATGTCGGCCTCGTCCGCCCAGGGGGGGGGGGGGGGCGGTCCAGCCCACAGGCGCCACTCGACTGGCGCACCCCCGCACACGGGACAGGGTGAGACCCCCCTGTTAAAGGGCGGATAAAAGCCGCCATGGTGATCTCGTCTCCAGCTGGGTCGTCGGACCGACGCCACTCTGCCGGCAGCGGGCGTGGACATGGCAACCTTCACCTGACGTTGGATAAGCAGGCAGGCTGTGTCCCTCCCGGGTCGGGTCTGGTCTGGTCTGGTCTGGTCTGGTCTGGTCGGATCTGACCCGGCCTGGTCGGGTCGGGTCGGGTCGGGTCGGGTCGGGTCGGGTCGGGTCGGGTTGGGTTGGGTTGGGTTGGGTCGGGCTGGGTCGGTCGGGTCGGGTCGGGTCGGGTCGGGTCGGGTCGGGTCATACCACCTGATAAGACATTGGTTACGAGAAGTGCCGCGCTGAACCGAGGCCAACGTGGCGGCGGCCCGCCTGCCGTCTTCGGGCCACCTGCTCAGCTCGGCCTCAGCGGCACGGGGGGCGAGAAGCCGGTGACGGAGGTATGTCACGGCTAATCGACGCAAGTGACTTGACATCGCGTCAGGTCAGATCGTGTCGCAAGGGATGCCTCAGGCCCTGACATATAATTCATCGGAGGCGGCCGTGTCAGATCATTCCATGACATGCCGTTCTTGGTCCTCACCAGAGCGGCACATACCAGGTGACAAAATCTCATCGGGGCGTGACAGTTCACTAGATCCCTTCAGTTCATCACATCATGTCAGCCTGGAGGGTTATGCCAGTTCACTAGGCTCTTTGAGTTCATGAGGCCATGCCAATTTGGTAGGCAATGTCAGTTCACTGGACCGCTTCAGATATTCGTGCAACATTCGTTTGATAGGTCATCCGACCATTCCAGTTCAGCAGTGACGCAGACTGGCCGGCAGGGTCATCCCAGGCCGGGTCAGGTCAGGTCACTCGCGGTAGTCCACCAGGAGGCTGAAGCTGGCGCGGCCGGGCCGCCGCCGCCACGGCCGGTTCCGCAGGCAGGAGACCGCCGCCATCACCAGCGGTATGCAGATGAACACCAGCATCCCTGACGGCAGGCCGGGTCCGGTCAGGCACCCGCAGCCGGGCCGGGTCCAACGCCATCCACCGGTCGCCGTCTCAGACCACAGACAGCGGCCGGACGAGGCGAGCCCAGGTCGGCAACAGCAGGCCGCCCGCCGTCCCGCACGCGCGGACACGCCAGGTCAATGCGAGACGCCGCGGGTTATCTGCGGCCTACACTCGGCGTCATGTTGGCGGCTGCACTGCGCCACGGCTGGAGACGCACGAAAAAAGCCGTCGACACTGTACCGGTGAGCTCAAGAGCAATGAGTTATAAGCGACTGCTCTCGCCGCAAAACCAGATTACACTGAGTAAGCGCGGACAAAACCGAGACCGCAAACGCACAAATACTAGATTACATCGAGTAAGCGCGGACAAAACCGAGACCGCAAACGCACAAATACTATATTACACCGAGTAAGCGCGGACAAAGCCGAGACCACAAAAGCCCAAATACCAGACTCCTTTCAAGTTACTGCAATGCACAAGTGCATCAGTACGCGCTCGTTTTCGCATGCCGCGCTTGTCCCTTAACTCACGACTGTCGGATGATTGGTCAGACACCGCCGAGCGCCCCGGTACGTATGATAGCCAGAACAGCTGTCGCACTGGCGCCGCGCGGTAACGGCGCACAAACGCGAGGGCGGATCCGACCTCGGGGGCTAACGGCCGTTTAGGGATCTCGGTCCAAGGTGCCATTGTTTTCAAAAACACGTCGGCTTTCATTGTATTTTACCTGAGGTATTTTGGTAAAATTTTAACGTTATTTGTGCATACTAATATAAATATATGTTACTTGAAGTACTTTGGTAAAACATTTAAGTAATTTGTGCATAATAACATAAATCAGATACCATTTGTAGTCCAGAATGTGCCATGTATGTCCGACTTTGGCGATCTTAGGGGGACTTGATTGTCTCCCCTTCCAAGACCCAACCCATGTAAAGACGCGCGTGTAGTTAACTAATCCACGCCACAAGATGCCAGCGATATATACACATGGACAATGTATAAAACCAAGCAATAGACGCAATTATATCGACAAAATGCCACTAAAAAATCGCAAAATAATTTACAAATGTTAACACCTGAACATGAAGAAATGCCTGGAAAACAACACACAGCCGAATGGCTGCGACATACTCCAGCCGAGGCCCGGCTCACGAGCGGTGGCCGTCCACACACTCACCTCCCACCACACACAAGGCTATGTGGACCGTTCGACCTCCAGCCGAGACCCGGCTCACGAGCGGCGGCTGTCCACACACTCACCTCCCACCACATACAAGGCTATGTGGACCGTTCGACTTCCAGCCGAGGCCCGGCGCACGAGCGGCGGCCGTCCACACACTCACCTCCCACCACATACATGGCTATGTGGACCGTCCGGCTGTACGCCGACCTGGGTATGTATCCGCAGCCGGTGCTGTCTGAGAACACGGCACACCACAGCCAGTTTCAGAACATTAGCCGACTAAAGGGATCCAGGCGCGCGGAGGTCGGCCGGTGTGTGCGTATCGCCACAGGTCACCTGAATCCTACGCACCGCACACGCGCGCATCCCCCTCCCCCTACTGCACTGGGAGACTCGCGTGGCTAACGCTGACACCTCGCACCGCTTCACCAAAGCGCACTTGGACCCCACGGCTTTTATCACCTGAAGCGCCTCAACTCCCACCGATACAGAGAGAACAAACTGTTCTGGTGCAGGTGAACGCACCTTGCAAACTAGCATGAGAGCCCTGAAAGTACTGCGTTATTACGTTCTGGCAGCAGTAGTGGCCAGAGTTCCGCACTGAAGCAGCGCTGACCCGTGCAGCCGACGTCCCCCGATATCAACCCCGCCACAACTATCCACCGACGTGTCCGCCCGGCACATACAGCCTCCCGACCCGGCGCACCAACCCGGCGCCACGGCCGCCTCCCCGCTGCCGCGCCCGGCCCAGTCCGGCGGCGGGTGACGCGTGCGGTGCGCGTGACGGCGCCGCTGCAGCGGCCCGGGAGGCGGCCTGATCCGTACCTGCGGTGGCGTGCGGTCCCCTGAGCGTCACCTCCGGGCCGCACACGGAGCGGGCCAGGTCCACTGTGCGCGTGTGCAGGTTGAAGCGCACGTACAGGCCCTCGAGGACGACCACACCTGGGGGCGCGCCGGACGGTGGAGGCTCGGCGGCCGTCGCAGCACGGGCCGCGCCGGGGACGGGCAGAGCAAGGGACGGGCGCCGGCCAGGTCACGGCCGGGTCACGGATGTATGGCGCTCGGGTCACCGTCCAGCTGATCAGGCATGGATGTAACCCAAGGCTTGGGTTTATGTGTGCCGTCATAACACGAGGGTGATCATGTAAAAATATTGCACATTCTGGAGAGATGTAGAACAAAGGAAACGTAAGTTACCACAAAACCGCACGGCACATGTAGGTCTTGTTATAATGGGGCTTGAGTAAATAGCCATGCAATCAATTACTACAAGTGTCCGTTATTTCTGCCTAGGCTCGGCAACGCCTGGATAACGACCGATTCGAGGCAACACACTGCCAATGCATTACACCACATGGCCTAATAATAACCGGCAGACCATACGGCCCTCCCTCGCCGTCGTCCCGTCTCCACCCGCCCTCCACGAGGCCACGCTAGACTTTCTGCGCCGCGGGGAGCCATACCAAGGACGGAGCCCGTCGTGGACGAGTCAATGCCGAGCTTGAAGCAGCGCTCGTTGCCGGCCGGACCGTCGAACGCCTCCCGGAGGTAGCTCTGAAGCGGATCAGGGCGATGAGCGCCCCTCCAGGGATACATCCGCAACAGACCGGTCCGATACGCCGCCCCGGGGAGCCACGAGCTCAGCTGATGCATGCCGGGCCGGTCTCAAACGGATCACTCAGTCGGGAGTCTTTTAGCCAAAGGGCGTCCCTCAGGTAGCCTTGAAGGAGACATAGTGGTTGATGGGAACAGGTCGGGCATGCCCGCGGGGATCACGTTGTGGCGTGAGCTCGAGCGCGTGATTGAGCCTCGTCGGAAATGGGTACCTCTGTCGGCGAATATCGGGCCCGCTCGTTAACCTCCCGTAGCAAAGCGGTTTAATTAGCTTAGAACAAAGTCAGATACCTTACAACCGTTTCCAGCTGGCTCTCTTGACTTGGGCACACTCATTACAGGACGCTGGATGACATTATCGGAGGTCTGGAACTAAAGAAGGAAGGACGGCGCATGCCTCAAGAGAATCGAACTCCTTGACATCCGTCTCAAACCATGCAAATGCCTATTTCCAGGAAAACGACAGCAATTTTCCAGATTCGCCAGTCGCACTCTGCGGGCGGCATCGGCGCCAGCTGCAGCGCTCCGAGTCGAGCCCCGGTCGGCCGCTCATGCGGCGGTCTCAGCGCACCCGCGACGTGACGGTGAGGTCGAACGAAGCCGTCTTGTTGGTCTGCAGCGAGAGCGTGATGTTCGGGAAGTAGTCCCACGGGTGGGTGGCGTTCACGGTCGGGAAGCATAATCGCCCTTTGCCCGTCCAGAACGTATGCGACCTGTCTGCTAGGAAGGCGGCCTGCTCTTGCACCACTGCTATGACTTCACTGAACACCTGCAACAGCGACCGGTCAGTTGCGAGTTCTGCCACTTGACGACGTTTCGTTGAATCGGAGCGAGGCATTAACTTTGAAATTGTCCCCCAAGTAAACTCGGCGATGCACTTCTCCCAAGCCAATCATGGGCAGAACATTAACGGCCCTGTTTTGTTTTAATACGGCCCCATTAGCCGGGTCAACCCATTAGCTCTCCTAGTCATACAAATATCTCACAACCGGAAAGTTGGCGATACACTCAAACAACTGTGCTTTGCCTAAATGGCCGTCGCTACTTCGCCCCACACCCATCAGCCCCACTTCACAAATAGCATCCTACCCTCTCTGGCAGCCGCAGGTTAGTGGTGCCGGTGTCGACGATGGTCTTGTCCGTGTTAAACTCGACGCAGGGCAGCGCTAGCCGCCGGCCGGCTACCGTCATGTTGGTGATGAGGATCTCGTAGAACCACGACCGGAAGATGGCGGCCGAGTGGAAGCGGCCGGCCAGCAGGGCCCGCCGCGTCTCGCCTGGTCCGCAGCACGGAGCGAGGTCACACACGACGAGGGGTTGGGTCAGGTCCAGGGTGGCGCGCAGGCTCACCTGGACTCATCAGCAGGGGGAAGATCCCGCCGATAACTCATCGATGGCCTAACTCAGGAAAGAATTAACCTTACCTGAGTTAAGTCAGGCAAGGTTGGCTCAGGTCTCATCTCATCAGCGTGTAAGCCGTTAGAAAGTAGTCTTCTTCCGACCGAGCATTTAAGAGGAAACAACAGCACGCATTGTGTCGAATCCTTCAGTTTTGGGTGCGATTCCTGATTAACACTACGCTCTATTCATACCTTCCAACTAACGCTGGGCCAGCTGGGCGTCAGCACGAAGGACTATGACACAAACCCCTTTAACTGAGACTGCTGCAGCCACACAAAGAAGGCAAAGCATGGCTTAAATTCAGGTCATAAGCAAGGCTTTAGAGAGGACGGCCGGAACACAGCAACCAACAGTTCAGCAACGCGGAGATAGATGTCGCGGGCATAATAAGAACCACATATTTTACGCTGAGAAGTGCAGCTGCAACACGACAGGTCTATTAAACGCAGACAACGCACCTCGCATGCCAAACAACCACCACTCAGCTGCCTATCAAAATGTCATCAAAATTATAGAAAAAAATCGACGAGCCTCAAACCTACCCAATCACCGATCATCATGAAGTTGCTAACCTTGGCTTGCTATTAACACCGAGCATCGACATTTTCAACGTACCGCTAACCCGCACCCCCTCCCTTTGTTTTGCACCGCTGCTGGACTCGCAAAACTAAACGCGATTCGTTCACCTCCCACAACCGCCTGCGGAACTCCCTCGGCGCCACCCCCACGGGCGGCTCCTCGTGCCGTGCACCGGCGGCTCACCGAACTCCATGTAGCCGTGGTGTCGACCGGTGGGGCCGGGGCCGCAGAGCGCCACCGAGACGGAGCCCAGCTGGCCCAGCCGCACGTGCTGCGCCGCGTCCAGCCACGTCGCCACCGACGAGTTGGGCAGCGCGATCGGCTTGAACGCCAGACCCACGATGCCCTGCGGCCAGGTGATGACGTGAAGAGGCGAGGAGACGGATAGAGCGGGGTGATCAGGTTAACGCTTTGGGCGGCAGCCTACTCGGATATTGGAACGCTTACTGATCAACACATAGCAACCTCATTGAGAAAAAAAACTAACCACGCCTTGACAGCTGTGGAGGCACGCACAATTGTCATGTCAGCAGTCGTACAATATACGTGCAACGAAACAGTCAGAAGTAACACCGGACAGGAGATCAGTGTTTTGAGGTCACCTCGAAAAAAAACATCAGCCTACCAGACCAGCTCTTACATATGGCCGCTGCTCAGCACCCTCCCCAGGAACCAGTCCGGCCAGAAGCCTGGCTGGGGCCGTTAGCGGTCGCGCACCTGCCACTCGGAGCCGTTGATGTAGAAGTTTTGTGAGTGCTTGATGAGCGCCACGTCGCAGCGTACCGTCGGCGCGTTCGTCTCCGGCAGGCGGACCACGTCGCTGACCAGGCAGCCCCGCCACGAGCCTTGCGAATACGGCACGTCCACGGACACGTGCAGCGGCCGCAGCGTGCTCGATCTGCGGCAGAGGGCGGCGCTGGAGGCACGCAGGGCGGGTGGGCAGACGGGCGGGCGATCATGGACACGTGCTGTGGCCGCAGCGTGCCCGATCTGCGGCAGAGGACGGCGCTGCAGGGACGCAGGGCGGGTGGGCAGACGGGCGGAAATGGACACGTGCTGTGGCCGCAGCGCGCCCGGTCTGCAGCAATGGGCAGCTCAGGAGGTGCATCATTTGCTGGCAGTTCATAATTCATGCTCTGTCTAGCTCTAACGCACAATCAAGCATAAAAAGCCTTGAACCTGCCATAAACAAGAGCTTTGAAGTAAGAGCATGATTGTCCCATACCCTCGTGAACACTCCACAGCCCTCTACAGTGTGGTGTCAGACTGTTGCTGTGGCATGTATTCAATCACGGACAAACTTACATGGTTTGGTTGAAGAATTTGGAGATCTGGGGATGTGGCAATGCAGCAATGGCCACATTACTGCTCCCAGTGTCAATAAGTGCCTTCAGCTGAAATGGCAAATGGCATGTCACAACATATTCAGTCTAGACAAACTGAGCACAGCTAGCTCAACAATACTGGCTCATGGTCAGACTTTTCATTTCAAGAAAGCACACCTGCACACAAAGCTTGTGGTTAAGTGAGAGATATGCATGCCAAACCTCGGGTGCATATTGTGTCCAAGACTGTGTTCATCTAAAAGAATGATCAAACTTGTCAACTGCAAAGACCAACACATGACTAATATTTGTTACCTTCTGTGGTGGTGTTCCGATGATGATTTCTGTGTAGTATCCATCCCCTGACTTTCCATGCAAATTGACAATGCACTCCTCTCCAGATGTCAAAGGGCATGCCTCTTCAGTGTTTTGGGCATGTGAGAGGCACAATGAAAGAAGTATTGCCAATGTGCTCAAGCTGCATGATGGCCACCAAATGTTCATGTTGGAAGCATGTTTGAAAGATCTGAAGGAAACATTATCTTTTAGTGGGAAACTGGTGCAACACCTTGTGGGGTGCAGACCTCCATTAGAGCCCGGCTGTTCGCGGCTCCCTACCCTGGAAACACCAGGAAAGCTCAGACAGAGGTTAGATCACAATTCCAATTTTTTATACTTTTCCTGAATGAGCAAGAAAGCTGAGTTCTACAAAACATCTCAATGCACATGGCTCTCAAACACCTGGAACCTCTGATCATCCACTCCCACTATGCTGCAGGTACCACCCACCATGCAGTAGACCACCAAGGTACCAAGTGGTATACCACTGGCCGCCTTCCATTGAGCACATGTTAAGGGCAAACTATGCACAAGGTATAGATTAAAAAGCATACTCTTGGCAACAAAACAACACAGATATAAGTTTGCCTCAGCACCCCACAGTTCACTCAAAGGTAACATGCTGGTAGGCTCAATCTCCTCAATGATCCTTTTCAGGAGTTATCAGTATTGTCATTGAATTCAGAGACTTGAAGTCTATGGACTTGCAACAATAACTATAAATTATCACTTGAAGATATGGCCAACTGGGAAAAACCAAGGCATTCATGTATTGCAGCCTGGGTACTAGCGGTGCCCTCACAACTCTGACAACCAGGCAACATTCTGGCTGCCTGACACTCATTACATGTCAGCCACACCACAAGAAGAGGAACAGCATAACCATAAAAGGGCAAGAAATTCACATATCTCATCTACCGTTCACAGCATATCCAACAGCATTAAATTCATCCCTATTTACAAAGGCAAAACCAGCGTTTAGACCACCGAACACCTTAAAAGAACAAACTCAGATAATTGGGATACTCCAGCATGTGCAATAAGTGTGCACCAAACAAGCATTCACATCCAAATATGGTGATGCGCTTTACAACCCGAAACAGCTTTCCGAACCACAATTTTCCTGCAGTTTCACTCCACGGGCTTGCAGCCAGTGCACAAGACAGCTGTATACATGCAATCGAAGGTGAAACAGGCGCAGCTGCGGCGAACTACCGAACCCAAACAAAACAAAACAAACTCCCAAGGGTGCGCGGACTGCCTGTCAGGCTCTGGTTGCCGCGCGGTTCGCGGTCGGTCGGCGCGATCTGTTGAAATCGGGTTCCATTCCAAAGTGTTCCTTGATCCCATTCAGTACTGTGACGTTCGGTTTCTGAGGAATTTGTAACATTGATTCATTATTACGCCTATTGCCAGCCAGAGGTTTGTCATGGAGGAAGATCGCGAGTCTCTCGTGCTGCCGGCCCTGCAGCGATGCGTGGGCGAGCTGGCAGCATGCGATGACCCTGGCCCGGACGACGACTACACTGACTTGCTGACTCGCCTGGCCGACCACCTGCGACCGGTACTCTCCATACCGCACGAGCCTGACAGCACTTGTCTAGCGCAGCAGCTCGTCTGCCGACTCTGGAACCTGCCGCTGCATCAGCCGCTGGCCGAGCTGACGGCCCGGCTCAGCCGACAGCTGGCCGCCGACGTGCTGCTGCTGCTGACGGTGCCGCTTCCGCTGGACGGCGTTACTCAGGTGCTGCTGACGGCCGCCCGGCAGCGGGTCGCCGCCGGCGAGCTGCCGCGTGCGCTGGTGCTGCTCGAGCTGGCGCAGCGCGACCTGCTGGCGCGCCGCACCGCCGCCGAGAGCCAGCTGGCGACGTTCTCGCGGCGCGCCGACACGCTGCGGCAGCTGGCGGCTCTCGAGCAGGCCCGCTTCGGCTGTCTGATGGTGCGCGCCGAGGCGCTGTTCCTGGCCGAGGATTGGTCTGGAGCAGACGAGGCCGCCCGAGAGGCGGGTGGAGCGCGCGACGCCAGCGCCGAGCAGCTGCAGTACATGCAGCTGCTGCTCTTCAATTTCGGACTACAGCGGTACAAGGGGCGCGGCTGGACGCAGGCCGTTCACTGGCTCAGCCGGAGCCTGGAAATAGGTTGGAGTCGTTCCAGGGGCCGCCGACTTAACATGTTTGTGTGTTGGAACGCTCGTCATATGATGATTAAGTTGGAACCCTGAGGCGTCTTCGATGCGCAGTTGACGTGCATCTCATAAAACAGTGAAATGGCGACGGTGCCAGCCGACCCCGCTCGTTTAATATGTGGCTTTATATTCAACCGCACATGTCTGGTGTCCTCTCCCGTGCAAATCATTATGCTAACGTGACTTACAGTCAATGTGCAGTGTTCGTGGTGTCCACTACGACAGAGACAAAAGGGGACAGTGGAATAACCAACAGGGACATGCAGCCCAAACCCGTCACGATTCATCGATCAAAACGCCAAGCGTCTTGTCCTTCACCCGATGCGACGCTGAGCCGACCCCAGCGCCTGTGAGACTACCCCCGCCCCCTCCGTGACCGGCTGGCGCTACCCTCCCCCCCCCCCCTTGTCGCAGGGCAAGGTCTGCTCCGTGCGCAGTGCCCAGCTGACCTGCGGGCCCGCACGCTCGAGCTGCTGGCCCGGTGCTACATGATGCGAGGCGAGGACGGCGACCTGGACCGGGCCAGGCAGCTGCTCCAGCTGGCCTTCTCAGGTCAGACCCGTCAGCCCGATCACATCAGCCGCCCGATAACTGCAAGCTCATCTCTTGATATCTCCGAATCCCTCAAAGACTTGAAGCGACTCGTTGCACTTTCAATCAGCAAATTGGCTCATATCTATACTACATATGCTCGCATGCGTTGAGGCTGTCAAACCGCGAAGAAGATTTATTCCAATTGCAAATAATTCCAATAACCAGTATTACCACGAATACCTTGCGATTCGCAGCACTGCCCCCAAAGATCCTCCAGTGATTCGCCAGCGTCAGTCGAACACGCTCGGTACATCCGCTGTGTGATTGCAGAGGGTGCCAGCCTGACGCTGCGCCTGCTGATCCTGACGTGCGAGCTGCGCCGCGGGGTGCGTGCCGACGACCCGACCCAGCCGCTGCAGCACTGTGTCCAGGACGCCACCGACTGGTGTCAGGAGCAGGCCGACTTCGTCCGGGTCAGGGTCGCTGCCCGGCGCCGTGCCGTCCGAACGGGCGGCCCCGCTGCCGCTGCTCTCGCGTCCAGTCTTCGCCGCGATGGATCTGTGCGACCCGCTGCGGCGCCACCAATGGGCTTCAGTTGATGCGGGAAGTCCACGGAGAGAAACGCTGTGTCGGCTTTCCCTCTGGATCGCGTCACTGACCATGTGAAGAGGCTTTCGTTGATAAAAGGGGGAAAATGGGCACCACGTAATCATGTGCGATGGCAACACCGTGATCCTTCACTGCGGCATGCCGCCGGGTAGTGCCGTGTGAGCCCACCACTTAGGGAGGCGTCTCTGTCCCCCAGCTGTCGGACCTGCTGGGCCGGCACGGGCGGCCCGAGGAGGCGCTGAGCGTGCTGCGTCGGGCGGCCGAGCACCGCGGCGGCAGCGGCGCCGTCTGCCGGCGCAGTGTCCACCTGCTGCTGCGGCTGGAGCGCCCCGAGGAGGCTCTGCGCTGCCTTGCCCAGTATTGCGCCCAGCCGGACGGGCTCAGAGGTTAGCCGCTAATGCGCGCGCCGGGCCCACAGGGGAGCGACTGAGGGACGGGACGATCAGAACAGTCAGCTGACTGCGGGGCCCACAGGGGAGCGACTAGGGGACGGGACGATCAGAGCGGTCAGCCAGCTGCGGGACCCACAGGGGAGCGACTAAGGACGGGACGATCAGAGCGGTCAGCCAGCCGCGGGGCCCACAGGGGAGCGACTGAGAGACGGGACGATCAGAGCGGTCAGCCAACTGCGGTGCCCACAAAGGAGCGACTGAAGTGCAGGAAACGGACAGAGGTCAGCCGACTTCGATGCTAAAGGAAGAGGGCGCGATGCTAACTGGAGGCGGATTTTGATGTGTAGCAATTGGTTGCAGGATGGCTCCCGCAGCATGTCTTTGTAAATTTCGGCGTCAATTCCAGCCTTTCACGTTTGCGCTGCCGGTGACATTGTAAGCTGCCACATTACGTGGTATTACCCAGCCGTCCAGACGTCCGACATTCTACTTGTGCGGATGTACTGACAGTGGTCGGCAATGCGGATGGTGCCGGCGGCCGACCGCCCCAGATGGCGGCCGAATGACGTCAAGCGGGTCGTGCATGGCGGCGACTGACGACGTTCCAAGCGACTGTTGTCTGGCGGCGACCAGCGGTGGTCCAGTGCCTGCAGCCAGTGGTGGTCCAGTGCCTGCAGCCAGTGGTGGTCCAGTGCCTGCAGCCAGTGGTGGTCCAGTGCCTGCAGCCAGTGGGGTCCAGTGCCTGCAGCCAGTGGTGGTCCAGTGCCTGCAGCCAGTGGTGGTCCAGTGCCTGCAGCCAGTGGTGGTCCAGTGCCTGCAGCCAGTGGTGGTCCAGTGCCTGCAGCCAGTGTGGTCCATGCCTGCAGCCAGTGGTGGTCCAGTACCTGCAGCCAGTGGTGGTATAGTGCCTGCGGCCAGTGGTGGTGCAGTGACTGCGGCCAGTGGTGGTCCAATGACCGTGGACAGCAGTGGTCCAGTGACTGGACAGCGGTAATCCTGTGACGATGGCCGTTAGTGATCCAGTGGACGGTAGCCCGTGGTGATCCATTGACGGTAGCCGGTAGTGGTCCAATGACGATAGCCCGTAGTTGGTCCAGTGACGGTAGCCGGTAGTGGTCCAGTGACGAGGGCCTGTGGTGGGCCAGTGACGGTAGCCGGTAGTGGTCCAGTGACGGCAGCCGGTAGTGGTCCAGTGACGGCAGCCGGTAGTGGTCCAGTGACGGTAGCCTGTGGTGGTCCAGTGCCGGCAGCCGGTAGTAGTCCAGTGCCGGCAGCCGATAGTGGTCCAGTGACGGTAGCCTGTGGTGGTCCAGTGCCGGCAGCCGGTAGTGGTCCATTGCCGGCAGCCGATAGTGGTCCAGTGACGGTAGCCTGTGGTGGTCCAGTGACGGTAGCCGGTAGTGGTCCAGTGACGGCAGCCGGTAGTGGTCCAGTGATGGTAGCCGGTAGTGGTCCAGTGACGGTAGCCGGTCCCATGACATCTGTTCTGCGCCATGCCCGTCGCCAAACTCGCGTGTCTCCATCAGTGAGGGCGGCCGACATTCGCAGACGGCCGGCTGCTGGCGGGTCTGGTGGCGGCGCTGGAGGGCCGCGCCGCGACACTGATGCAGGCCGGCCAGTCGGAGCCAGCCGAGCAGCTGCTGCTGCGGCTCGCCGACCTACACGGACTCGGTAACAGCACGACCGCGGGGCGACACCGTTCAGCCTCACCGTCAGTCAGGCGGCCCGTACTTGTCGAGCCAGCGCTGCTCATGTTTTGTCAGGCTTGTCTTCCCGCCGGGGTGGACACGTGTAGCATTCTATTCTGACCCCACGTGACTTCTGGCACTAGGCAGCTCGTGATCCTCGTGTACCATGAGACCTTAAGTCAACTCTTAAGCGGTGTGTCCTGTAACGTCGTGTGGAGGGTGACTGACGTGAACCGCGACACCGTTCAACTCCAGCCTGTTACGGCTCTCGTCCCGGGGTCCCCTCGCCGCTGCTCACCACCGGCAGCCATCCCCAGAGTCTGACGCAGCCGGCCGCCTACTGCGCAACGTGTCGCGCTGCCTGCGCGACCGTGGCGAGCTGGCGGCGGCCGAGGCGGCGCTGCGGCGGGCGCTGCTGCTGCAGCCCGGCCACCCGGCCGCGCTCTACATGCTGCTGCAGCTGCTGATCGCCACCGGTGCCGCGGAGAGCGCGCTCCAGCTGCTGCCGCTCATCGGTGGGTCGTGCCAGCCGGCTGAGGCACCCCTGGCTTTGCGCCGCTCCGTTATTGTTGTCTGCGCCCTTGATCCCCTCGCAGTGCTACCGCGGGCATCGGTCCATCGCACGACCTTGCATCCCAGCGGTGCAAGGTCGCGCCCCTTGTCCCACCCGGTGGAAAGTGCTAGACCAGCTCATGATACGGGAGAGGCGGACAGACATGTGTCGACCACTC